GATGGAGGGGGAGGTGATGGAGGTGGAGGTGGAGGAGGAGGTGGAGGAGGAGGTGATGGAGGTGGAGGTGATGGAGAAGGAGGTGATGGAGGTGGAGGTGATGGAGGAGGAGGTGGTGGAGGAGGTGATGGAAATGGTGGAGTTGATGGAGGTGGTGGTGGAGATGGAGGTGATAAAGATGGAGGTGGAGGTGATGAAAGAGGTAGTCGTGATGGAGGAGGTGATGGAGGTGGAGGTGATGGAGGGGGAGGTGATGGAGGAGGAGGTGGTGGAGGGGGAGGTGGTGGAGGAGGAGGTGATGGTGGAGGAGGTGATGGAGGTAGGGGTGATGGAGGAGGAGGTGATGGAGGAGGAGTTCGTGGACGGGGAGGTGGTGGAGGAGGAGGTGGTGGAGGTGGAGGTGGTGGAGGTGGAGGTGATGGAGGAGGAGGTGATGGAGCAGGAGGTGATGGACGTGGTAGTGGTGATAGAGCTGATAATGGAGCTGTGGAAGGTAAACTCTGCACAGTCACTCTATCATGCAGTACAGTGAATATGGTCTTCACAAACTGGAACCAAAGCACAAAACACTACTGGCCACAGGCAGGAATTCAACCCAGAGGCTGTACCGCAACCTCATTTACACTGCCCCCATCACTGGCATCAAGTCCACTTCCCCACGGGAGAGAACCTCCACACTAGGCTGCCTGCCCTGGCCAGGGGAGCACAGACTCCGCCCCATTCAACCGTGTACCTTGTGCGCCCAGCGCAGCACCCATGCTGAAAAGGTGCTACACCTCTCTGACAGGGGATAGAAGTCTCAGTGAAATCTGCCTGCTCAGACCGTACATATGCGGGTGACCTCAGAGAACTCTTCCCACAGCCCTCCGGAAGGCAGCCACCCTCATAAGCACCGACCACAGACGCTGTTACTGGGGTGGCCACTTGTCAGCTGGACAGAGAAATGAGCCTGGTCTGTGCGTGTGAACTAGGACTGCGGGACTGTAGGGACTGACCGTTGCTCTCCCGCTTTACAACACTGAGTTCTTCAACTCCGTCAGGAGAGATTATAACTGGGTGGAAGATGCCTTTAAATTTCATTGCAGGCCCTAAAAATTAAAAGGAAGGTTAGATAAATGGAGATTAAGTGCCCTTTTAATTTTGCTATTTGATTAAACTGATGTCTTTAAATTTATAAAATTGTATTTTGCTCACACAGAGAGAACAGCTGGATGAATTTTCGTTAAAGTTGGAGGACTCACTATTGGGACCGGCAGCCCTGACACTTGGGTCTTGTGGTTCCCTCTGATTCTCTGGGGAGACTCTGAGGTGTCCTCAGAGAGGGGCAGTCAAGCTGCCCCCCAGACACAGCAGGCACTGAGCTGCGATTTCAGAAGGCGTCTCACGCCCCGAGCCTGAGTGAGAGTAGGGAGGGAGAGGACGGCGCCACCGCCCTGCTGCTGCGGGGAGTGTGCGTCTCTCTGCATGGCTCCGCGAGGGAAGGGGGTTCACTTATCAGTGAGAGCAGCTCTCAGGGCATGGCGAGGAGGCCAAGCCCAAAGGGCTGGAAAGGCTGCTTCCGCCTGCATTTCCTGGTGAGGCTGCCCCCCAGCCTGTCCCGCACCAGGACCCAGCCTCGTACCCACGGACGTGTTGCCCATGACCACTGGGGCCTGGGGGTACTTGGACTTGGCTTCCAGAAGGCCCTTCAGGGTCACGGGGGAGATCCAGGTCATTCTGTTGCCCGTGAACACCCGGGGCTTCCGTGGCTGCTTCTGAGCCAGCATCTATGGGAAAAGCAAGAGGGGCTCAAATACTTCGAGCCGCAGTTCCCATGCTGCTGCTCTGGCGCACGGGGCAGAGGAGGCGTGGGTCGCCTGGGAGGCACAGCTGGGGAAGGCACGCGGTGCTGGGCTCCAGGGAGCTCTGGGGCGCCCCTCTCTCGAGGAACCCCTTTCTGTATGTAAAATCTGCTGACACCCCTAGTGCTGTCGAGCAGTCTCTGGAAGAGTGAGTGCAAAGGACGGGGGCAGAACTTGTCCACATTCACACCCACAGTGACTGCGTGGCTTCCTGCAGACGACACCAGCCGCTTCTGACGGCAGCTGCACTCACACCCACAGCACGCTGCGGACCGGGCCAGGCAGACACAAGCTGTCACCGCCAGTCCCTCAGGGAAGAGATCAGCACCGGCTTCCTCACCATCAGCTCGGGAGGAAATATCAGCTCCTGAGTTGGGTCCAGCGGCACAAACTTCTCTTCTGAGAACAGCTCTGGACTTGTCTTAAAACAGAAAGGACCGGAAGTCATGGTTACCCCTGCCCCACCCCCATTCCTGGGGTCACATTCCGAGACCCCCAGCGACGCTGGAACCCTGCGCCTTTAGGAGCCCGGTGTAGAGCGAGCTTTCCGCCCGCTCTCCCCACCCCGTCCTTCTGAGCTGTACTGCGCGAGTGAGCTCTTAGCTTCTCCCCCAGGGAGAGCTGCGGGGCATCTGAGAGCCCACACCATTGCCCGGCCTGGGAGCACTGCTAAGGGTGACCCCCCAAACACTGCAAGGGGGAAACAGCTGCTCTGACACCCCAAGTTCACAGAGAGCGCAACGTGGACGCCTGGACCAGGGTGGTCACGTGGCGGTGGGCAAAGTGGGCCTGGGAGAGTCACGGCACCGCTCAGCACAGGGCGGCCACGCACGTCCCGGGTGACAGTGTGCTGTCACCCAGCAACTCTGAAGCTGGAAATCCTCCGAGGAACTAACTCAGCCGGGAGAAGATGGACAGGAACAGACGAACCGCATCCTGGGCCCCTGGAGGGCTCCCCAAACTAGGCCCTGTCACCCTCGCAGAGGCACAAGCTCCGTGGGCCACCTGTCCCGCCACTGCCTTCCCTGCCCACGGCTCCCCTGACCCCTGCTCGGAACCAGCTCGGAAAAGCTCGGGGACGCTCGGGCCCTGATCTCCTCCCCAGAGCGGCCGTGCTGCAGGGGCCTGGCATTGGGACAGAGTGTCTGGGACAGATTTTTAAACAGTTTTACTTTCCACTGACACCCGGCCAGGTGTGGGTCAGGGCGACATCTCAGCACGGCCTTGGTGTGGGACGTGTGGGTGACGGCGTGTCCCCTCGGACCTCTGCCTGCACTCCTTGGAGTGAGGGACGCGCAGTCCTCTCCACTGCGCTGTGCTGATGCTTACTTGTTCTTGGCCACCGACCCCTCTGCTGTGGTGAGAAGCTGCCCTCCGCCCGCTGCCTTCCTCTTGCCACGGCCCAGCCCCTCTCGGGCAGACCTCGTAGACAGTGTGACTCAGGAAGGGGCCTGAGCCCTGAGCTCGGTCAGCACGCGGCCCACGGTCTTCCTACCACATGGAGCGGACCCTGCCCAGGCCCGGTTTTCGCCCACTGACCTGCCCTCCGTCCTCCGTTTCTGGGGCTCCATTTACTCCTTGGTCCACACAGCAAAACCCGTTTTCGTTACTTTGGCAGCAGCCAGACGTCTAATGGGCAAAAAGCAAATCATGGGAACGTAATGCTGATGCTTTAGTATTAAATAAACCGGCTGGCGGCTGGCTGCAAGGATATAAAGGGGTCAGGGCCACCACCCAGGACACGTAGGGTCAGGGCTGTCACCCAGGACACCTGGGGTCAGGGCCGTCACATGGGGCACGACAGGGTCAGGGCCGTCGCCCGGGACACGTGGGGTCAGGGCCGTCACCCGGGACACGTGGGGTCAGGGCTGTCACCCAGGACACCTGGGGTCAGGGCCGTCACACGGGGCACGACAGGGTCAGGGCCGTCGCCCGGGACATGTGGGGTCAGGGCTGTGACACGGGACATGACAGGGTCAAGGCTGTCACCTGGGACATGACAGGGTCAGGGCCGTCACACGGGACATGCCGAAGCTGACATTGTCAAGTGTCACGAGAGAAACCGTCTGTAGGTCAACATATCCAAACCACCTCTAAAAAACTGAACTGATGAGAAAACTTCACTAGCAGCGATTATTAAATGAGTTAAACTACGTAAAAACTGTATAACTCAGCCTGGCCCATGCCAATAAATACTAAGATGACTGACTGACTGGCCTTAATAAACCTAGTATTCCGAACACCGAGGACGCCCGTTAACAAGCGTCCCGCCCGTCTGCGCGGTGTCCTCGGTGGGCCCCGCCTGTCTGCCCCCTGAGCCGCTCAACTGCGCTGCCCTCGTGGCTCCTCTGTCAGTGTCTGGTCACCGGCCTCCTGTCAGACAGCCACAGTCCCTGTGCAGAGGGCGACTGCACCTCCTGGCCTGGCCTCCTGTTGCCAGAGGGTGCCAGATGCGCCAGCGGGACGGGGCCAATGTGACCGGCAGGTGAGCGTGGGAGTGGGCGGCGTGAGCAGGCCTGTACAGGTCCGTACGATGCCACCTGCCCCTGTGGCGCCTGTGGCTGGAGCAGCCCTGCCCTGGAGCGCGCCCCGCCTGTCAGCGACAACCCCAGCGCTGTGTCTCGGGGAGGCGTCCTCCGCGCTGGCCCACACTGACCTTGCAGAACGTCCTGCCCGCCTCGAGGATGGGTGTGTACCCCGTGCAGCGGCACAGGTTACCTGCCAGAGAGACCGGGCCGTGTCAGTCAGGGATGAGGACCCCACCCGCCCCCTTCCCTCCTCGAGGTTTGGGCCCGGGAGGAAGTGAGCTCGGGCCGCCTGCTCGCCCTTGCTGCCGCCTGCTCGCCCTTGCTGCCGTTGGGGTGCACAGCTGCTGAGGGGGTGTTCAGTCAGAGTCTCTGGGTGCCTCTCGAGCGCTGCCATCTGCGCTTCTGTTTTTAAGTCTGCTCGGCGTGGCGAGGGCTCAAGTGGCGACACGACTTTAAGACACAGTCTTGCTCTCCAGTCAGAGCTAAACAACTGTGCTGGAGTATTATGACGAACAGACAGCTGTGTGTGGCCCCATGCACGCCTGCTGTGTGTGGAAAAGCATTTACCTGCGAGCCCAGCCTGCAGTGGATGCCGTGCACACAGCTGTCACCTGCCTCTCCGTCACGCAGTCACTTGACAAACGACCTACCCTGTCAGCAGGCGTGTCAGTGTCGTGACAGCCACAGGGCCATGTTCACGCTATGTCACTGCACTTGCCGGGCAAACGTTTTGACCCGGAAACGCCTCCGTTCTCCTCCTGGCCTGAGAGCCACCGTTCTACTCCGCTCCTGAGGACTGGGCTGTTTAGGTTCTTCCTCTGAGTGGGGCCCTGCAGGCTCTGCTCTGCCACGCCTGGCTCACCTCACTGTCAGCTGTGCGGAGAGGCTGTCCTCGGGAGGGGACAGCCAGGCGCAGTGTGGGAGAGGCTGGTGCTCCTAAGAAACTGTAGGATCTTGACAAAGATCACACACAGGGGGCTGGGGATGTGGCTCAGGGGTAGAGCTCTTGCCTTGCATGCACAAGGCCCTGGGTTCGATCCCCAGCACCACATACAAAAAAAAAAACCCTAATAATAATAATAAATAAATTAAAAAGATATATCACACACACACGCATACATGTATGCACACCCATGTATGCACACGCACACTCAGGTATGCATGCACACACAGGCGTGTACACATTGAACGCCTGAGCCCAGGAGCACAGTGTCTCCAGGGGTGCCGGGCCTCGCGTTCAGCCATGGGTCTCTCCCTCCCATCCTGGACTCTGTCCTATGACCCCATACCCCACTAGGCGAGGCTGGGGACAGCAGCTCGCGGGGACAGCTGCCCTCTTTCCAAGGACGAATGGAGAGTGTAGGTTGCATGAGTATGAAAGCAGACAATTAAAAAGGAAGGACTCCAGTAGATTAAAAGAGGCAAGAAGTGCATCCGAAAACGCCTGCTGGATCCAGCTTGGAGCTCGGCTTCCGCACACAGCTGGCACACTCTGGACAAGGAGCTGTCTCCTGTCTGTCAACAGCACCCCGGGCGTGATGGCAGCGTGTCCTCATCACCCTCACTGAGGTCAAAGCCACACACACAGCCCACCTGCCAGGGCGTCCGCCAGCTGCTCCTCGGAGGGCTGCGGGTGGTTGCGGAGCAGCGCGTACAGCGACATCACCATCCCGGGTGTGCAGAAGCCGCACTGCGTGCCGTGGCTCTTGGCGATCCTCTCCTGCGGCAGAGTCAGAAACGCGGGGTCTGGGCTGGGCCCAGGGGACCCAGGGACCTGGCTGGAGCCTCAGGCGGCTCCTGTGGGCACTCAGGTGTCTGGAGAGGCCCGAAGCCCTTCCCACCCCTGCTCCGCTCCCAGTGTTGAGTCCCCACTGCAGAGCCTGAAGCTCCAGCCCTGACGGCCGCAGGTCGCCGCCTCAGCCCCTGGGTGGGTCAGGGCTTCTCCTAAAGACCCCGGGGGCTGTGAGCGGCAGCAACAGAGAAGCAGTGGAGTACAGCGAGGAGCTGTAGAAGGCGGAGGGCCCACATTGCCCGGGCGCCTTTGCTCTGCAACGGCCGCAAGCTCCCTCCCGGGCAGGAGGGTGCCAGGCGCACGGCCGGGAGCCGACCGCCACGGCCCTGTCTTAGGAGGCCCCAGGCGTCTCCGAGGGAAGCTGGTGCACCCCACTGGCCTGCCCAGTGTGCTCTCGGCTCCTGCGGGCCCTCGGGGCACAGCGCCTCACCTGCACAGGGTGGAGCCGCGACCTCGGGCTCCCCACGCCTTCCACGGTGGTGACAGCCGCGCCGTGCAGTGAGCAGAGCGGCGTCAGGCAGGCGCTGGCCGGGTAGTGCCTGCAGGGAGAGACGTGGTGGGGCGGGCCGTGCACCGGACCCACGCAGGACGAGGGCCACGCCTGCTTTGCCACAGCGCGTCCTCGGCTCCCACCCCACCAGGGTACAGGGAGGCGGAGGACTGTGCTCCGGCTGCAGCACGTGGCCACAGCCCAGGGCCAGAGCTGATTCCAGCCCGGCTCCTCCCTGCTCCACGCCCTCTGCCGAAGGAGGCGCCACAGCCTGGGGCCCTGGGACCCAGCACCAGCGCTTCCTCAGCCCGGGACGGAGGCTCGGTGGAGGCTCACTGGAGTCTGATCCGGCTCCTTGGAAGGGAAGCCGGGTGGAGGGAGGCAGAAGTGCTCAGGCCCAAAACCCGCACTAGAAAACACCCGGTTCGAAGGGCCTGACCTCTCCAAACGCCCCGTTCCCAAACAGCCTCCGTGGCTAATGAACACACGAAGCAGAGCCATGACGCGTGCCGCACAGTCTGGGCACACCACGCCCACAGCAGCACAGCGCGTCACAGCTCAGCCTCGGAGGCAGCCTGACTACAGCGGGACTGGATAAAGACAAGGCGGCATGGACACACATGGAGCACTGCTCTGCCATGAAGAAGGGCAGACGTGAGGCATCTGCAGGAAAGCAGACGCACCTGGGGACCATCACGTTAGGTGAGATAATCAGACACAGATCGAATCTCACAGCTTCTCTTACATGAGGAACCCAAGTTACAAACAGAGCAAAAGAGAAGAGACCAGGAAGTAGATCGAGATCTTTCTCAAATGGGGAGGGGGCTGAGAGGCGGAGGGTGGGGAGGAGGGCGAGGAACTGAGAGGTGCTCGGCCAGGCGCAGCCCCCGGGCGTGTAAACATTACCGGCTGCACACACGGGCTGGAGATCCATGGGGGGGGGCTCAGTCACGCCACGAGCAATACCACCTCACCAAAGGAAACGACGATGTCCGAGTTACACCATCTGCTGTCAGCAGAGGCTCAGGGAGCGGGGCCACGTACCCACGCAGGAACGTAAGTGACGCCGTACCGCGCGCTCCCAGGACCCTGCCCCGGAGGACGCAGGCCGCCACCTGGGCAGGCCATCATCAAGGTGCTCAATCACGCAGCCTCTGAGTCCATGTTTGTTATTTGAAAAGATATTCGTGAAGAATTAAGCAAAACAGGGCAGGTTTTCAGATAGTCCTCAGAATGTGTCTATGGGTCAGGGCCAGAGCAGACCTGGAAGGGCCTCACTCCAGGGAGAGTATGGGGTTAGCGGGTGTCCACCGTGCGTCTGCTGTGTGCTGAGATCGCTGAGGACAAGGCCGCTGCGGGGCTGCCCCGCACAGGTGGGTGCAGACGGTGCCCACGCGCGCAACCGTGACCAGGCCCAAGCAGCCCTGGGCCGAACGTGCGCAGGGGCCGGGCTGGTCGGGAGCAGCAGGGCCAGGAGGGTGGACAGCGCCGCGCGTCTCCGGAGGAGCCAGCGCACACGGGCTCCGCGGGGACGAGGCTGGGAGGGTTAGGGACGGAGGGGCAGAGGAAGCAGCGTGCGGGGTGCAGGGCATGGGCACAGCTCCGCCCAGGCTGGGATGGGCAGGGCAGGCCGGTAGTGGTGACCTCCTGGCAAAGGCCAGGGGTTCAGACCCGATCCAAGGCCGCTGAGCCTGCGGGTCGGGGATGCTGTAGGACCCCAACCCCCTCGCCCAGAGCCAAGACAAGAGTGTGAGCTCCAAAACGGAACGGCAGAAAACTCAGACCACATGGAGGACACAGAGAAACTAGATTCCACTGGGTGACCAGTCCTCCCCAGAGAGGAGAGGGGCTCTGTTCCAGAGAGGGGGAGAGAGGGGGGGAGAGAGAGAAAGGGGGGAGAGAGAGAGAGAGAGGGAGAGAGAGAAAGAGGGAGAGAGAGAGGGAGAGAGGGAAAGCGATTCTCTTCCTGGAGTAGAAGCGGGAGGGGGAATCGGCCTGAGACTGGAACGGGAGAAGCCAGACTGACTGGGTGGGCGCGACAGACTGAACGGCAAGGCGGACATGCACCGACCCACATTCCCACCCGGCGAGCAGCGCCCAAAAGAGCCGAAAGAACCCGGCTTCGGCTCTTCCACAAAGAGCCAGGGGAGCGGAAGCCCGAGCGGGAGCCTGGGCTGAGGCCGAGGCCGAGGCCACGCGGCCACACAGCGCGAGGGACGCAGAGCAGGGCACTCGTGGGACCCAGGCTGTGCCTCTGCCCAGCCCAGCCCAGGTCCTCAGCCGCAGCGGAGGTCACAGAGGACGGTGCCTGTGTGAGGGACGCAGACCTGGAGCCCAGGGCGGACGACTGACGGAGGACACCGACACCCAGCTCCAGGGAAGGACAAGTCCCAACCCGCACCCGAGGGACGTCAGACCCAGCGGGAGGCTCTGGAGGTGAGCCTCATCTTGAAACCCACCAGCGGCTGGTGCCGGGAGTGCACCCCGGGCTGGGGAGGAGTGCAGCACCTGGGCCTCCCACGGCCCTTGGCCCGGTGCCCCTCAGGCATTGCCGCTGTGCGCCAGGCAGCCCTCACCGCCGCGGGACTCTGACCCCGGAGGCCTCCCGCCAGGACCTTCCGCCCAACCCGTAATCTCACCACCTTGGTCCCTCATGCCAGAACCCACGCTTCTACTGCTCGGGGCTCGACAGCTTCACCCGCAGAGGAGCTCAGCCCTGGAGCCCTGGCGGGTACCTGATCCGCCCGGTGCTGGGGTCATAGCGCGAGATCATCACCGTGCAGGCGCCGCAGCCCCCGCCTCCGCAGCTGTACTTGGTCCCGGTGAGCCGCACTGAGGCCTTAGTTAAAGACAACGCGTGACCGTGTGTGCGTGCGTGACCGTGTGCGTTTCCGCCCCCTCCTGGCCGCACGGGGGGAACGCTCCGGGACAGTCTGTCGTGCTAACCGTGTGTGTCCGGTTTCTCTGCCTCCTGGGGGCAGGCACCACCAGGCATACCCCATGTCTGCTGTCTCGTACTCTTTAGCAACAGGAGTCCCAGATTTTAGTCCCACAGAAATCCACGGTGCAGCCACCCCTGCTAGGAGGTGGGGTCGCCAGCAACACTGGCCAATGGACGCCACCGTCAGTATCGAGTGTGGCTTTCCAGAAGGGACGGGGGTGTTTCCTCTCTACAGGGCCTCTTTCCCTCAGCTGGAATTCGGACACGATGGCAGGACTCGTGCAGTGTGCAGAGTGGGAGGAGCACTGAGACACAGGACTCAGGGCCTGGCCCCTGCTGGCCATAGCCTTCCTGACTGGACCTACTGGCCCAGGGGACAGGAGAGTGGGGAGACTCCTTGGCTAGGAAGGCGCCGGCCCAGGGAGCCCGCACTGTGCTGTGGACCCCGGCCGTCCCCTCCTGGGCTCCCTCTTCCTCTGGCTGGGCCGGGCGCAGTCCTGAGCTCCCAGCCTCCCTGCCCCCTCGCCCTCCTCGCTGGGGCTTCTCCTCCAAAACCCTGCAGGGGTCACACTGTCTGTGCCCTGGAGGTCGGAGCCCCTGCAGGGAGACAAACTCGCCGCCTCAGTTGGTCTGACTGTCGCCCGCACACTTGTGTCTCAGAGCAGCCGCTGAGGCTCGGAGCTGGGTCTGTTTGGGGGATTCCACCTCATGGGGGAGACGCACGCTCACTGCCCCGTTCTAGCTCTGCACACACGTTGGTGAGGTCTGCTGCCCCTGCAAGCCCCGAGCTCAGGCCAGCAGGCTGGCGCACGTGTCAGGTTTAATTTCTCCGTTTCAGGAGACTGCTGTGCTCTCCTGCTCCAGCAGCACGAGGATTAGAAGACAGCGGGGAAAGGCTGTGACTCCGGGGAAAGGAGGCGTACTTCACCCTCCTTAACCCGCCTCGCTCAGCTCCTGCTTCTGGTTCCAACACTGACACCACGCGTCCAGAGCCGTGCAGGCAGCAGGAAGGCCTTGGCTCTCCTGACAGCGACAGCCCTGCGCTGCCCACAAGGCCGAGGTCAGGGCTTCCTCACAGAGGCGCGTGGACCCGCCATCGTGGCCCTGAGGGGACATCTGAGCGCTCCTCTGACAAGGACCTCAGCGCGGGCAGGCGGGAAAGGAAAGGATACGGTTCCTCCTCAGGTAAGGCAGCAGCATTGTCTCGGGATCCACATTTCTCTCTGTCACCTGTGTAGAGAGAGACAACGGAGCGTTACGCACACGAGGGAGGCCCGGGGGCACTGCTGTCTGCACCGCAGGGCCTGCTGTGCTGAGTGAGGGCGGCGCACCAGGCGGCCTTCGCTGGCTTTCTCACCGGTCCTGTCACTGCCGCGGCCCCTCCCCTCTGCTGTCCGTGCGGAAGGTGGCCAGGCTCGCTCTCGGTGGCGGGTGTATCCACCCTCGGCTCCCGTCCTGCTGCCTGCCAGCGAGTGGCCAGCGAGGGGAGGATGCTCACAGGACAGTGAAGGGGCAGGAGAGGACAGCAGGACAGGACAGCAGGACGTGCAGGCACAGGGGTGCCGGCTGCTCCGGGAAGCGAGGTGCCGGTCCGTCACAGGCAGAGAGCACAGACTGTGTCCAGGGCGCGGGCCGTGCGGGCTGGGCAGGACTGCTTTGCTCTTTGCGGGTTAAAAGTTTGAGATTTCTGAGCTAGACACACGATGCGCCTCACACACCCCAGGGCAGCATCACCCTCCCCATGTCACAGTCAGTGTCCTGGTTACTTTTCTCTCATGGCTGAGACAAAATACCTGACACCTAAAATTAAGGAAGGGAAGGTTTATTTATCTCTTTGTGGAGGTTTCAGTCCATACTCAGCTGGCTCCAAGGCAAAGTGCGTGGCAGAGGGCAACAGTTCAAGGTGGCAGAAGGCAGCAAAAGCAGCACGAGCACAGGGCTGGGAGACGCAAGCCTCGTCTCCTCCCGTACGTTGTAGGCAGCTGCCCGCCCACACAGCTTGGTGCCCTGCTCTGGCACAGGCTCAGGGTGTTTACAGAGTGAGGGCCCGGCTCCCTGCTGAGTCACTTAGTTAAACTTCTAACCTCAGTTCTCAAGTTGGCACAGTGTGTCAACCGCTGAGTGAGTTTCCCTGGGGGGAGGGGAGGGCACAGGTGCCCGTTCTGCGCCAGCCTAGCCTGCAGCTTGAAGCAGCTGAGGGGCGGGGCTGAGGACAGGGGTCTGGGTGAGTGCGTATGTGTGTGTGTTAAGTGCCCTGTGCCAAGCGGGTTCCCGGCGTCCTCCACGGCGCTGGCCCTCCAGGCCGAGCTGCCCCTGTCCTCCCGGCCCCGGCCTGCTTCTCCGCCTCGTGTCCCTGAGCTGGCGCCTGCCCAGCCCCCGAGCAGCGGCCAGCGTTTCAGCCTGGGCGCAGCGGCGGCTCCAAGTACTGCCGCCTCTGTCGCTGCATCTCCCTCCGGGCACCCCGAGGAGCCCGATGCTTGCGGGGGCTCTGCTCGCACCCTGCGGGCACCGCGCCACCGTCTGTCCAGTCGGGCCCCACACAGCCGCCGGAGTGAGCGCCCACCCCCGGCTCCCTCTGCGACAAGGGGACCCGGGAGCCGGGCCGGAGACGCCGCGGACAGGCCCGCTGCCCCGCACGTGTCCACTCCACAGCCCCTGGGGTGAAGACGAACCTCGAGCTCCTCACTGACACATCTGTTACAAGCGGCCCGTCCCGCCTGGCCACCCGCAGGCTTGAACCCCGTGTGCTCGAGCCCAGCGCTGACAGCGGGCGGCTCTGTCTGCCATCGCCGCTCCTGCATCTGTGCTCTTCCCGTTCCAGTGCCGAGTCATTGCCCAGCTCCAACCTCCTGACAAGTGTGCACTGACCCATAAACAGCTTGGCCGTAGTGCATGCGGTTTGCTATGGGAAGGGAGGAACGGTTTTCAGACTGGGGCAGCGAAGCAGAAGCAAAAGGAACAGCAGAGAAGCTATTAACAGCAGACACTGCTGGCTGTCTCTCCTGCAGGCATGTGCTCCCTTTTCCTTCCAGCTGGAGTAGAAATGAAATGGCTGGAACTTCTGCAGCCACCTTGCACCATGAGGCAACGCATTAATAGCAGTGCAGGAAGAGAGGGAAGAAACCCTGGTCCCAGATAACATTATGAAGTTTCTGGGCCACCCTCCCAACTTCTGCCCCAGAAATACTTTCTGCAAGAGGAAACCGACTTGGGTACTGTTTGAGCCTCTGTCAGGCGTGTGCCGTTGCAGCTGAGAGGAATCCTACTCACACCTGTGGTGTCTACGCATAGCCAGTGCTCATGGGGGTAGGTCTGCCCAAGCAGGCGGCAGACAGCAGGGGTTGGGCCGGGTGGGCCGGGTGTTGGTGTGCTCTGGGGAGGACGCACGCTCAGGAAAGGCTGCTGCAGGTGTCCAGGGCTGGCACGTGGCTGGCAGCAACACTGGCTGACACACGTGTCCTCCCGGCCGGGGCACACGTGGAGGAGGAGGGGAGCGGGCCCGGGAGCTTCCTGTCCCGAAGCCACGGTGCAGCGGGAGCCTGGACCGAGGGTGGCCTGGGCTGCCCGCAGGCCCAGTCACTCTGGTGGGTGCGGAGGCCAGGGCTGCCTCGGCCCACGCAGGGTCAGGCACGGCACGGCCTTTCCTGGGGGCGCTGTCCTGTCCCTCCGCGCCCCGCTCTGCATCCCCACAGCTCTCTTTACCCATGACGCAGCAGAGCCGGGCCGAGCCAGCGACAGGCAAGCAGGCAAGTGGGAGCCAGTGCGGGAAGGAGCAGGCAGAGAGGCAGGCGGCCAGGAGGAGGGAGGAGGAGCAGGGTCAGGACAGTCCCAGCGGGCGCTTCCCCCCCCCCACCATCCGCTCTTCCCAGGGACCAGAGGAGGCGGAGGCCCCGCCCGCCCGGCCGCCGCCTGGTATGCAGGAAGCCGCGCCCGCAGTGCCGAGCTCTCTCCGCGGCCCTGTTTTCAGCCGGCCCATGGGAACAGGCTCTCCGTGAGCCCCACTATGCAGAGGGGAAACTGAGGCTTGGAGGTATTAGGCCCCTTGCTGAGGCCCTGAGTGCCTCGGTGGCAGAGCGCAGGGTGCAGAATTCACTCTCACACCCACACATTTGCTTGCAGCCTGGCTGCCCCGAGGAACGCCAGACGCTCCGTCCCGAGGCCGCAGCGGGTCTTGGCGCCCTGGGCCAGGGCTCCTCCTCCCCAAGTGACACGGAGAGGGTGCTGGGTCCCGTGCCGGGCACAGCGGGTGGGACCTCGGGGTCTCTGTGACGAGGCCCGTGACCGGGTAGGACTCAGTGAAGAGCACAGACAGGGCCAGCGCTGGCAGCAGGCACTTCCCGAGAGCGGGCTTGAGAGGAGCCCTGCGCGAACTGACCTGCAGACCCCTCCTCCCACGGCTCTCCCCGTGACGGCCAGGCCAGCTTCCCGGGGCAGGCGGAGGGGAGGCTGGCGGGCCCAGGGTGGGGACAGCAGAGGCCCAGCCACTCTCTCCAGGGCTCACTCGCGCTGGCCCCGATGAAGTGGCTCTCAGGAGCGCAGCCTGCTGTCGACAGCGCCGCAGCCCCCAGGGCCGAGCGTCTGGAAGCAGGGAGGGAGGGAGCACACGAGAGCTGCTGCCGCCTCGGAAGCCTTCTCGTCCCCCCGGGTCCCTGGCGCGCAGAAGGCTGCACGGGACCTTTGTGTCGGCCCCTCTCTGCCCCCTCCTCTCCTGCCCCTGCAGGCCCCCGCCCCTGCCCACGGTGCCCTCTCTCTGCCCCCGCTCCTGTCCCGCGCGGCTCTCTGCTGCCTGGCGTCTCCCTGCACACACAGGGCCCGGCTTTGTGTCACTGCCCGGCTCGCAGGCCGGTGGCGTCCACCCCATGCAGGGTCCTCCCTGCGCAGCGGGCCCTGAGCCCTGCGGGAGCTGGGCACCAGGGAACCACCCTTGCTGGTCCCGACAGCCGACCACCATGCTGAGCGCCGTGCCTGCGGCCCTCCCTGTGGCACGCCGCGGTCCCGAAGCTCCGTCCGCCAGGGCGGGCCCGGCTGGCTCTGTGGGGCCGGGGCCTGGGCGTGGTGGGTCCTGCTTGAGGACTCAGAGCCAGGGGTGCTGAGGGACCAGGGGACCGCGCCTGTGGCATGGCCCACGTCAGCGGGCAGTGGCACAGGGCCCGTGCCGCCTGCGCCAGGTTCGGCGGCCACACAACTGGGACCCCTGCCTCAGTTTCCCTTTAAGTGACGGTGTGTGCTGCAACCTGGGCCCCGTAGAGTGAGCACAGCGTGTGTGGGGCGTGAGGTGCCTGGGTCCTGGGGCTGGGACACAAGGGTGACCCCGACCCTGACCCCAGCCGCAGGCCCTGTCCCACGCTGTCCCAGCCTGAGGGCCCCAGGGCTGCCTCAGTGTCCGCGCTCACCCCGCGGCCGTTCACGCAGAAGTGCAGTGTGCTCGGCTCTGGCTCCATGTGGCTTTGCTTCGGCATCGGCGCGGCTCGCACTGTGGACGGGAAGGAGGTGTCGACAGGTGCTGCGGACTCTGCCTTATCTCCTGCTCCCGCCCTCCCCGTGACGCCGCGGGGCTCGTGACGGCCCGCCCCTGAAGCCCCACGTGGTGTTCCCGCCCCGCCATGCTGACCCGGGGTCAAGAGCACCATCAGGGCGGAGGCAGCCCCGCGGCTGCCTGAGCTGCGCCAACTCGGGCTGGGCTGGGCGCCGCCCGCTGGGAGTGCCGAGCCCCGTGAGCTCGGGTTACAGCTGGGATCCGCTTTGCGCCTCGCGGCCGCTGGCTTCCTGCGCACCCCGAACCTCAGACGCTCCAAGGGGTGGACGCAGTCATCTTCCAGACTTCTCACTCAGCACAGCTGGAAACTCTTTCCCCGTTCTTTATTTATCTAAACGCAAACTTGTGGTGCACATTTCAAAAACATTTCAGTAAAGAACGGGACCAGGGTGAGTGTTCCCACCCGGCACGCTCCCAGCGGGGGACTTGCTGCAGAGCTGCGGGTGGGTCACCCCGGGCTTGCACGCTGTAGCACGCCTTGAACACACGTGTGCAAGGAACACGCACACGCGCGCGTGAACAGACACCTATCAGCCACAACCCCATGGCCAGTGTCTGCGCGTCTTGGTGCATGAGATTTATCTCGTCACTCAGACCCCACTCAGGCATTAGCTTCTCACACCGCCTTCCCCGCCGGCACAGCACACCTGCAGGCTCCCCCTGGCCCCGGCGGTGGCAGGCTCCCTGGAATGGGGCCGGCGCTCAGAAGCCACAGCTGGAGGTGGAGGCCCTCTCCGGCAGCAAGCTGTCGTTTCTAGGCGTTCTGGGTGGACAGCCACGCCCGTTACTCTGTTACTCTGTGGAGAGACGAGTGGACCACAGGGGCGACGCGGGCTGTGGGTTAGTCTGCTTGTGCTCGGCTGTGCTGTTGGGGGGTGAGGGCCGGTGGAGGGGTCCCCAGGGCCTCCGCTGGCGGGGTCATCTCTAGCTCGCACGCTGCCCCAGCTCTGCCCCTGGGCCACTGTGAACTCAGCAGCCTTCTCCACAGCCCTCCGCCGTGGAGTCGCTGCCTCAGTGCCCGCGGGCCAGGGATGGAGCGCCTTGACACCACGGGCCACGCAGGCCTCTCCTCGAGGTGTGGGTGTCAGGAGCTCTGTCCTGCGATGGGACAGGGACTAACGGAACAGAGCCGGGAGACATAAACTTCTGTAAAGACCGCGAAAAGGCACACGCTCACGGGGGTATTTCCCTAAAACTCAGTGCTGGAGAGGTTCTCTGAAACCCTCACTCCTGTCTGCCTTGAGCATGGCCTGCCCCCACACTGTGGCTTGGCGGCAGCGTCCTGGGGCCTGCGGTTGAGGGGCAGCACGCGAGCCTGGCCTTCCGCACCCTGGCTCTCCGGCTAGGTTAGCTGCTGGTACTGCGTCCAGGGACGGGGAAGCGCCCACGCGAGAAGCGGCGTCACAGCGGTGCCTGGACCTGGCCCGGAGGGCCGAACGAGCCTCAGAAGCTGCTCCGCAGGAAGGGTGTGGGGTCGGGGCTGAGAGCCCGGGGCGCGGCAAGCAAAGCCTGGCGGGGGACTCCGGCCCGCGCTCAGACCAAATGCTGCGGCGTGTGACAGCGGGGGCCAGCCACGGCGGGATGACCCGCACGGAAGAGCCCCGCCGCCCGGCCCTGCGCTCGGAGCATCTCTGCTCCACCGCGTCCTTCCGCCACGACGGTCCTGCCTCGGAGCGAGCGGCCGAATTCTTGGACACGGAGCCAGACAGACCTCTCCTCAAACTGTGGCTGTCAGCCGCCAAGGGAACCAGTGCGGACGGAAATCCCGGCAGGCCGAGCTGCCGTCCAGGTCCCGGTTCCCTTCCCGCGTTTCCGTTTCTTTCTAGTGCCCCCGTCGGCGGGAGTTAAAAAAGCTCCAGAACAGGAGTGCGACCGGAGCCCCCGCGTCGCGCGAAGGGTAAGGCGGCCGCGGGGCCTGCTGTGCGGGCACCGCCTCGACGCCCTTCGGGGCAGCCCCAGGGCACTCGCTGCGGATGCCACGCTCTCACGGCCAACTCCAGCGCCTCCTCCTCCCCTCTGCTTCCTGAGGCTGGGCTCCAGGCCGCTCTCGCAGGCTCCTCCCCGCACCTCCAGGGGCGACCACGGTCCACAGGAGCAGGGAGAGCCAGGCTTCCGCTGCCACCTCACCCGGCCGGCTCACCCGGCAGGAGCGCGACTTCAGCGAGCGGGGGGCACAGTGCAGAGTCCCGCCGGTCGGCAGGAAAGCCCGCAGCCGCAGCCGCTCACCGCGAGTCCAGGCGCCGGGCCCCAGCGGCGGGCGCCCCGGGAGGCGTGCGCTTCGGACGCTCCGGCGCTGCCTTTGCCTTCTCAGGCTGGTTTTCGTTTTCTTCAGCTCTCCAGTGCATGGTTAGCAACGAACGGTGGCCTCCATCGCCCGGCTGGGTCCTAATAAAATCTAGCAATGCCAAAAGGCATCTGACAAAACCCAATACCTGTTTTTTTCAAAAAAGCGCGCAAGTAACAGTTGGATTATTTTAATGTGATTATAAATATGCAGCCCGGAAACCACCTCCTTCCTCGACAGGATAAAACCAGGGTATTCTCGTGAAAATCAGGACTAAGATGAGGGTGTCCACTGTTCCCACTGCTAGTTAACTCCCCTAAGGCAGTTTTGGTGCCGGGAATCGAACTCAGGGCCTTGCACTTGCCAGGAAAGCACTTGTGCCGCGGAGCTGTCTCCCCGGCCAGTACAGGTTATCAGACACAGATTACAGGACAAAAAGATTCAGCAATAAATTTAAGTGCCTATGGAAACACATCAACACTGTCATTTGAGGTCAATAGTGGACAACGTGGGCTTTTTAACCAAAGGGGAATCACTTGGAAAAGATAAAACTTGCATCCAGACTTTATACCATATAGTAGAGCAAACCCCAAGAGTCAGAAGTGTAAATGTAAGAGAAAAATAAAAGGGTAACTACTTTTATAAATTGGGAACAGAAAATTCTTTGAAAAGGTTGATACAATTGTCTATTTAAAATAAAAAATAATTTGCATGGGAAAGGAAAAAAATGTCTCATAAAAAGAAAACAGAAATAAAAGGATAGAAAAACATGATACCAGAGTGAGTCTGGGAGGTCGTCTTAGTAAGAGTTTGGGGAAAGGAACGGCCTGTGGACGCTGAGCTCCGGACCCCAGCAGAGGAGACTGCCGCTCTGCAGAGCTCCAGCCCTGCTGACTGACACGCTGGGGCTGTGAAATGTCCCCCTGCAGGACTCCCCCACAGCCTGGTCAGAGCTATCTAAGGGGCTTCCTCTCCGAGGCAGAACAGACCTGACTGGTGGAAAGCGGTAAAGTCCAGCTGATTCACTATTTATTGCTGGAAGTTAGGTATAAGCACCAAATTCTCCGCCCCCGACGCCCCTCCCTGGGGCCGGGGTCTGAGAGACAGAGCAGCTGATGGCCACTGGAGGGGGAGGAGACGAGGTCCCCACAGGGGTCCGACGCTCACGTGCAGCCAGCGAGTCAAAAGTAAAACAACCCAAGACAGCACAAGCAGCGTACAACATAACCAGTGCAGCAGTATTTATTACAACATGTGGTTAAAAGGGGAACAGCTCTTGTTTGGTGAAAGGATGTGACCTAGGAAGGAGCTTAAATGAGCAAGAAGGAAGTTATAGGAACGAAATTATAAGTTTCATATTGCAAAAATAGCTATTTTATGTACATATATCTAAATATAAGAATGAACAAATAACAAAAAGAGTGACCAAATCAACCCCCCAAGAAAAGGCCAAAGAAGAGGAGAAAAGAGAGCCTTCCCTCAGGGCTCCCTCTCCGCGGTGCTGGGCGTGTTTCTGTGCTGACTTCTTGTTCGTGAGCACCCACGAAAACCAGAACCCGCCTTCGCTTCATCTCCGCATCTTCCTGGAGAAGGGAAAGAACAGCTTCAGTGAAAACAAACCCCAAGTGCTGCGGCGCCAGAAACCCCACCCAGGCGAGGGCGGGCGTCCGGAGAGGCCGAGGCTCCAGGCCCGCAGGGCTTCCGACCAGGCGCCGCCGGGGCAGCCGAGGCCGCGA